TGGCTGTGCGTACTGAACTGCCGAAGAAATGCAAACTCACGATGTAAATGCCCACTCTTCAGAGGGCACTTTCATTTGCTGGCTATTTTCTTTGGTTGGTAGATCATAAATCACAGGCATGTTAAAAATCAGTTAATGTAGATTATGCAAAACCCTTCATGCAGTGAAATAATTCTCAAAATGACATTCATTGTCATTAGGGCAGGTTTTCTACCATGAAATCATTTTTCGAATGATTTGACTCAGTAGACAGAACTAGCAGTGGCAGGAATAAGGCATTGTTCGTGTTGCAAGAGCTGATTGGGAAGCTGAAGGACAGGAGCTCTGTAATGCTTTAAATGATTGAATTTTGAACTGCAGGAAAGACTGTGGCTATTTTTGACCATTACAAAACAAGCTGGTTGGTTTTTTGAGGTGTGTTATCAAATTCTTTCCACAGTTCATACGTAAAGTATATTAAAGCCATTGAATGCTGATTGACAGAGAACTGTAGCTTCTCTTTAATTTCTACGGAAAGAAAAGTTGTCCTTCAAAGATTTTTTTTTTTTTTTTTTTTTTTAAGCTGCAAAGAATGTAAATTCAGTTCTAAGTTTTCCTTCACTGCAGCATCATGCAAAATTTTGGCTTTCAGCGTTCTTAAGGAACCGTATTGCAAACACGCAGGAAACGCTTTTATCTTCCTTCTCAAAGATCTGCCATTGTTTTGGGGCCTTTTTTAACAAATCGTTTTGTCTTGGTAGGGAAAAAGGGAGCGATTCATAAATAATTCAGTTGTATGTGTTTATATAAAAGCACAAGAGAAATTAATCCGATGTACTCAAACAGTTCCAGTGTGGCTCCCGCCTCCGTGTTCCAGGGCAGAATGATGCTGTGGGCCAAGGACGATGCTGAGGCAGTGGGGAGCGTTGCTGCTGAGGCCTTCCAGAGACGGGCTCACCCCAACCCGCCTTGTGCCACCACCCAAGGAAGGAAAAAGCTGCTTCGAGCATCTTTATTTCGTCTCCGGGGAGGGGCGGCTGCCCTCCCCTTCACAGAAAGCAGGGCCTGAGCCCCGCAGAGCTGGGGAGACCAGGGACAGGCTGGGACACGGGTGGTTTTCCCCAAGATTTCCCCATAATTATGGCCCAGCTCCGCGGCGACCGGTACCACCTTGAAGACAACAACATTGACTCGTCGTTTTCTTCATTCACTCTCAGTACCTCGGGCCACCTCGCCTCAGACTAGGGCACAACTTCAGCGTGGTCTCAGATGAAGAGCAAAACCAGTATGTAGCCGGCAAGCCCAAATGGTTTGGTGGGTGGGTCTGTGACTCAGGTTAGATGAGGGCTCTTCTCACCTGGAAGTCATTTCAGATTCAAGTGGGAATGTAAAATGAAAAGGCCATTTTGGAAGCAATGCCTTACGCAGATGCTCTTGTTCTGGAACAGGTGTGCACATTTTAATATTGATTAATCCTTTTTAAAAGTAAATTATATTTTCACGGAAAGAACGAGGGCATCCAGAGAAGGAGCTAGTTAAGAAGCAGCCACTGCACAAGGGTTTCTTTCACGGCAGGTCCTTGGCTGAAGTCCCGCGGCAGATGATGGGCACCCACGACTTTACTGGTCTCTCTCTAGTGGAGGGCTATTGGCTGTGTCTTCTCCCGTTCTGGACCAGAGCGAAGGGCCAGAGTCAGCCCTGGGAGGCTGCCGAGCAGGATGGGCCCAGCATCCCCTGCCCCCAGCCTCGGGTCCCGGCACCTGCCCCGCACCGTGCAGCAGGGAGGGACTCTCAAAACTTCCTCACTCCCTCAGACCCTCTAGTCTCATGAAGCTCACCTAACAAAAATAACTGGTTTGTAATTTAGCGCCAGTTGCTTAAAAATTACTCCGAGTACAAAGTTTGTACACTGAAACCAATCCATTCAGTTAATATCCATTCGTTTTAGATGTTTAAATCTGTTATTCCTCCTTCAGATAAGCTGATTGGCTTTTTGTGGTTTTAAAACATTATTGTAAGAAGAGAACATAAGTATTGACATCACGTAAGTCTGAAACAGGATAAGCATCTACCCAGTCACTGCGGTAAGTATGCTTTACAGAACTGAGCCTGCCATTTTCCAGCAAATTACCACATATTTTTCAGCCTGGCATCCCAATCAAAACCAAGGCTATTGGGGAACTTGCAGCCTTTGGCTAAATCAGCAAGTACTGAAATCATTACAAAAGTAGGACTGTGCGCTCCGTCACCCCAGCCTGATTACAGATCAGGAATTCTGGGCTACATCATCTCTTAATGGAGGCGTAACACTAGTCTGGGGGCACTGGGTGGAAGACTAAAGTCCTGAATACCCTTGTGACAGTAGCAAAACTCCTGATCAGTAATTCATCTATTGTTATCTCTGTTCTCAGAACAAATCAGTCTGGGCCTGCCAGGGGTAAGAAAACCTGCATTTTTATGGTTTAGTGTCCCGCAGTGATTTTGAGGTCTGACTGCAGACAGTGGCACTTGGCGGGTTTGCTCTCTGCGCGGATTCTTTGATGTCAGGCGGAGTAAAGCTCAGCCTGCAGCAGCTCCCCCTTGCCAAGGAGCTCCTACTGTCTTGCTCTTTTACCTGACCGAGCTTACAAAATTTGTAGGAACTTGATTCTTAGTCAAGTTTGGCTGAACTTGGACTGCTCGGGAGCTGCTGGTGGAAAGATAAGATAAACACGCAAAAACTATGAGTGGAGAAGTTTCTTTTCCTTAGGGAATCAGCCTAAAATCTTAGTAATCACAAAAAATCCATTCTCATGCAGGTTCCCTATCAAATGTACACGGGTTTCAGCCCGAGGAAGGTACCTTGAATGAATAGGTTTGCATCCAAATTCTACCCCCTCATTAAAGCGTTTGCTACTCAGTTTTTGTGATCAGTATTTTCATGAGTCCGCGGTCCCATGAGGCATTTTCCGAGTCCACTTACGACACCCTGTTAGCAAGTTTAGCCATCTCGCTGGTTTAACAGATTTTTCAACTTCTTTGAATTTTTGGATTCTCCGAAACTTCCATGGGCAGTGCAGCCATCTGCAGAGTGAGTTTGTGTTTACTGGCAATACAAACGCTTTTCCTCGTTGCCTTTTCTTGGGTTTTAGGAGCAGTTTCTGGCGCTGTAGCAGTTTACAGGCCAGAGATAGAAACGGCTATTCTAAACTCACCCTTTCTAAAATTGTATTACATGGTGCTTATATTCAGCCACATCTTGAAGCTATTCTCAGCTGAAGTCTGAACAACATTCTGTAATGTTTAGGTCGAATTTTTCTGCGTTTCTTGATTCTCAAGCAAATCTGTACTCCCTTGGTCTGAATCAGGTTAAGTATGTGCTGCTCTGGGAAGCTGAACCCCACATCTCTGGAAATCAGAGTGAAAGTAAGAAGGGTAACAGCAAAATATTGCCAGGATCAGTCACACTGTAATGATGAATACAGCAGAGTGTATAATATTGACTAACATCTTGTACAGTGGCAGGTACACAAGACTGCTGTGGAAGTAATTCTGGTCTTGTTCAGGTTAATGGGGCTTTTACAACTGACTTTGGTGGAATCGGGATTTATGTTTGACTCTTTTTTCAATTGTTTGTTCATATTTACACAACTAGACAGCACAGAAGATTGACAAATATCCAACATACTCTGCTCATGTTCATGTTGCTGTTCTTTCGGTCTTTTTCTCTTGAGTGTTTTTAAAAGTTCAGTATGACGTTTCTCGGCTCGCCTTTATTGAATTTATTATCTTTATAGACAGACTCCATGCATCCTATTACTGTCCACATTACAGACTTCTTCTGTGATGACAGTAAATATATTGTTCTGTTTGTGTTTGGACGTGGAGTCTGGAGGAGCCCTGGGGTCATCCGAGATCCATGACGAAGCAGCCACCGCACTGTGCCTGGGCTGGCAGCTCAAAACTCTCCTGCATCAGCCTCTGTAGTGCAGAATTGGATCACTTGGGGGACTGGTAATGACATAAGGAGCCTTTTCCAGAACCGTGCTGGAAGGGGGCTCACGAGAACATCTTGTTAAGTTCCACTTTTATAAGTGGAAATTTCTTTGCCTCGAGGATCAGTCCATTTCCACATAATGTTTAATCCTGACTATGAAAGACAATTTATCCCCGAAGCTAATAAAAATAGCTTGCCTTCTGACATAATTATATTGTATTATTTTAAAAAAGCAAGAAAAAGGAGGTGATATGACACACAAAAATTCCCAGTAGAAGGAAGCCAATTGAGCCCAGAACATTTATCATTCCTGCTGCCCCAGGTAAAGCCCCCCATCCCTCGTGTCTGATGTCACAAATTGATCCGTGAAGAACACTGTCAAAAAGAAGAGTGTTATTGCCCATAAAATCATTGTAGGTTGGTGGTGTTTTCTTCATTGGTGGTGTCAGGGGGATGAAAAAAATTTCTATTATTAAACGTAACAAAAATGGTAATCATCACTACAGTCCTGCTTTCACCAAACAAACGAATCCCATTTGTACTGATGAGCCACTGATGGCATGCCGAACGTTAAACTAAGCAAAGAGAAGATGCGGGGTGAAGTCCTGCTCCCACGGAGCCACTGGAGGTGTTAAACCTTCCGCTGGCTTCAGATGGGTAAAACAATGAGATTTAGTCTGGGGCTCTGCTCAGGGATTGTGCATCTGGGAGGCTGGGAGCCACGGCACTGAGAAATGCAGACTTGAACTTAGGTTCCCAAGGGCCCATTTAGGCCCTGTAATAAATGGCCTAATTTTCAAAATCATTGAGTCCTTACTGGCCGGTGCTGATGAGACTGTTCCAGTGATCAGTCGCTGTAGCTCGCTCTAACACACGCCAGCGAATATTTATCCCGAGGAAGCAATGTTCACTTTTTTTCATTTTGCATCTGTCAAAGACTGTAAAAAAAACCTTTGAGTAGAAAATTAACAAACCCCTGGTTTATCAAAAAGGATATTGTAGAACTCACCTTTTCTCTTTGGCATTTTCTTCCCCTCATGTTCAGGTATGAAATAAACGGAGGATTTCCAGCTTCCCTGCAGAATTCCAGGCAGATGAGTATCAGCAGTCTGTTCCCTGCTGCATGGCCTAGATCCTCCACCAGGAACACAATGAAAAACTGACTCTGGAGCATGACTTGAACAGACCGATGAGAAAAGGTATTCAGTGTTCTCTCAAACTCGCTCATTTTTTAATTCTGTACATCAAAACGGGTGGGTTTTAAGTGACCTTCTCAGGCTAAGATGATCAGTGCTGCTGGCGTAATCAATATGAGTTTTCCATAAGTGTGGACAAAAAGTCATCGTGACAATGGGGGGGTGTTGGACATATATGTAAAAAATAAGTAAACGAAGACAAAGGATTGATGAAAGACATTAAATTCCTTTAAAAGTAGGGTCAGTTTTATGATACAATGATCATATGTCAAAAAAGAAAATTTTCAAGTAGTTGGTATGTGGTAGCTTTGGACAAATAGACAGCCTCAAGTCTCTTCCTTAAAATTTAGCTCTGATTGATCTGAATCTCCTGTTCTTTGAAAAGTGGCTGTCATCTACCTCCGTGCGTATACTTAAGTAAGACCTAACCTGCTATTTAAAGTGTTGCACAAGTGGCTTAACTGAAGTCTTGGTTTAAGTCTGTTTAAACTGAACCATTGCAGTCTTGTGCAGATGCACTTAAATCAACGTACAGCTGCCGTATGAAATTCCACCCCTTTGAATGAAGCTAAATCAACACAAGCCAGTTGTAAATCATTTTAACTGTGTCCACATGTGGATTTGCTTCATGTTTAATGAAACTGATTTAAAGAAACAATCCTAGGGAAACCACTGCCGCTTTCTCTTGCAGGCAAAGCCTGTATTATGTGGATTTATTTGGAACCAGGAACCTTTCTGGCACACATACTGAATAGCCAGCATAGCTCTGCAGCTGCACTGTTGAACATCAACCCGAATTCTTGGTCTTGTTCTGGATTGGTCTAATGCATTTTCTTGTGTGGAGCCATATTTCTCCCTCTACTGAGATTTAACCCATGGGTTTGTCTTCCCAAATAGGTTGGGATTTCTTTCTTTTTTTTTTTTTTTTTAGAATAATCTGATTAATTTAGTCCAAACAGTATTTCACCCTATGTTTTTGTCCGGCCAGAAGCAGCATAGGCTCCTCATATCAGCAGTTACGTTCTTAACATAATAGTCTAGCTCTTCAGTTTGATTTATGAACACGCAAACAAGGAGAATTTTGAATTCAATCAGAACAAATGGCCGTGTGCTGTCTAGCCAGGATGTTCTGGTAGGGTTTCCATTGCATCTGGGAAATTGATCCTTCCGTGAATTTATGACTTCAGCTGACAGCAGTCTTCAGGTTGGTCCTGATTAAATCACATTAGTCTTAGGATTGTAGCTCCAACCATTTGTACTTCTGGAAGTTGTGTAAAGATTACTCATCCTCACGCATACTGTTTAGCCTTTAGTGAAGTGAGTTTTGTTTTTCTATCCAGAATTCGTGTTTCTTATAGATGTGATTCATTTCGGTGAATACCTTCAAAAGGCAGCAAGAAAGGAAAAGTTCTGATTTGCATATCCCCAATTCTTCATGTTTTATCTGAAAATCCCAAATTTGCATCCATGAGAGACATATATAAAAAAGCCCCAGCAGGTACCTACGATTTTGTCTAGGCTTTTTTTTCCCAAATATGCCAGTTATTCTAATAAAAGCTGTTACCACTCCCTGCAGGCTTTCCCAGGCTGGCGGCCGCAGACGGTTACAGCTGCGGTGACACTGCTGCTGGCGTTGTGCCCGTCGGTGTCGCGCGTCCCCCACACCCGTCAGCAACTCAGTGGGAGCATGGGGGACACTAAGCTATAAGAATTAATAGTGGTGTGGCCTTTCACACCCACTCGGTCTGGAGTAATTTATACATCTAACAGTGGTTAATCTTAGACGCAGTTATTATTTCACAACTGGACTGCACAGCAATACTAGATTTCACAGTGCCAGACCCTAATGACTCTTCTGTAGCATAGAATGTAGTATCTTCTTCGTTATCCCAACTCGTAGCTTTCTGTAAACGCTCTGAAGGGAACTTGAATAAAAACACAGATCTGGAAAGGAGAAAAGAGATGCAGAGCACAAGCCAAACCCTCAACTCGTGCTGGAGATAGAGCAAGTGCAAAGGCAGTGCCAGGCGGTGCCCTCTCGGGGCCGTCAGCCCCAGCGCGGCGTGAGCGTGCCATCCTCAGTGTGACACCGACACGGGCATCCAGATGCCTTGAGGTTTTTAAGGGTGTGTCCCAGTTTTGGCTGGGACAGAGTTAATTTTCTCCCGAGCAGCCGGTACAGTGCTGGGTTTGGGTTTAGAGTGAGGATGATGTTGCTGCCACATGGACGTTGTAGTTGTTGTGTAGTTGTTGTTCGGTGTCTGTCCCAAGTTAAGGACTTTCCGCTGGCCCGGGCGCTGCCAGCAGGCGGGTGGGTGCACGGGAAGCTGGGAGGGAGCACGGCCAGGAGAGCTGGCCCCAATTAGCCAAAGGGCCACTTCAGAGCATCGAACGTCCCGCTCAGTGCAGGATCGGGCGGGTTGGCCGGGAGGGGCCGATCGCTGCTGGGGCACCGGCCAGCGGGGGGGAGCAGCTGCACTGGGCACCGCTCGGCTTTTCCTGCGCCTTCTTTCTTTTTGTTACGTTCCTTTTCATTACTACTATTATTACATTTGATTTTAGTTATTAAACTGTTCTTATCTCAACCCACGATTTCTACTTCAGTTTCGATTCTTCTCCCCATCCCACTGGGAGGGGGGAGCAGTGAGCACCTGTGTGGTGCTTCCTTGCTGCC